CAAAGTCTTCCCTGCGCTCTTCAGCATCTTTATGTATGAATGAGAATGTACATTGCTTGTCAAGATTCTACTCGTACCGCATTGTCTATTCAGTCCTTTTCATCACATTGCAGATTCTCGGTTTATTACGTACATATGCATATCTGTGCATGTAACACAAACAAACAAACAAACAAACAAACAAACAAACAAACAAACAAACAAACAAACAGACAAACAGACAAACAAACAAACAAACGAACAAAAAAGAAAAACAGCGAACATTGAAGACCAAATGGCAAATCTAAGGTGGGGGGCGTGGAGGGGAAGCGGGGGATCGCCAACAGAATTTGAAAACGAGATCAGATGACCCGAGACCCCTCTCTCTCCTATACCCATTGGGCGAACCTGGTTGCTAAGGAAAAAAAAGAAGAGAGTCCGCTTCTCACACATTCTCCCCGCCTCTCCATGCTCATCCTCCTCCCTCTCTCTCTCCACTTGTACCATTTGACTAACAGTCTTCTATGATTATTGCATTTAACTGATTGTTGCAGGATCCAAACTCGTCATGTGTTTACTAACAGTCTCCAGGTTGGGATCATTTATCATCAGGTGCATTCAATGTGGGCCTGTGTGACGGTGTCGTTACATTTGACTGGCATTTCAGTGACTTTCCTCGCAAAGACAGACATGCTAATGATCAGAATACCAACGTCAACCGCTGGAAGAAAAGAAAAGAATCTGTGTAGGTGGGACCGCTTTCCAGAAATGGTCGGAGATACCCCAACCTAAAGAATCGCTCCCTGAGCATAGGCATCGGAGTCCAACGGAACGCTTGGTTGCTCAAAAAATTGTTTGGCATCTTGGAGACCTGCCCCTCGGTTAGGAGATATCCTCAGGCTGGTGTCTACAGGCTGGGCCAGCTACACCGTCACCTCCCAGGCGAAGGAGCAGCTGTGTGTACATTTCAGGGTTTCACAACAGCTTTCCAGGATGTGGCAAGCAGAAATGACAAAGCTTGCATTCACGTAGGGCCAGCTCACACTTGGAAGACTGCTTCTATAAATGATCTCGATTTCAGCCAGGTTCGTCCAAACACCAGGATTGAAAAGTGGGCTCAAGGAACAGCGTGGAAGTGACACAGGGACGCTGTGGAGAGGTCCCCATTCCCCACCATCACTGCCACACGCACACACACACACCCACACCCACACACCCACACACACAGAGAGAGAGAGAGAGAGAGAGAGAGAGAGAGAGAGAGAGAGAGAGAGAGAGAGAGAGAGAGAGAGAGAGAGAGAGAGAGAG